CAAGCTGGACCAATGCCTCACTGAAAGTCTTGAAAAAGAACTTTTCCCATATGAGGTATATAGTCGATGCACTTTCATTTCTTGTTTGGGAGAATGATCTCTTTAGTTTTTAATTATTAAGCAAATGCAGACCGGGTGGGAATGGAATGCCTAATCCATTCCTGCTATCCCTTTCTATGATGTTGCATGTCTGTTTTTTTGGCATGACGATTCTCCAATACTTCTTTACCCTTCTTTTTTTATTTTCGGATTCTTTGCAAACCAATACGCGCAGTTTTTTTGTTTCCATTCCAGGGTTTGTATTATTAGAAGACCTATTTTTCATCTCCTTAGGAACCTGTGGGTCCTTCGAAGATAAATAGTGTGTGGGCTGGTGTCATTGTGTAAAACAGGTCTAGTATTTCTAGAGCGGTACCCAAAAAGCGTAGAATCGCGGGGCTAGAAAAAGGAAAAGGGGTGGGAACCAGCTACTTCCCTTTGGCAAGACCTTTAGTGTTGTGTTTTTTTGTTTCTGTTTCTGCGTTATCATGCGGTTAAAGAGCAACAATGTATGCTGCGCCTTTGCGTGGTCGCCAGAGAAGCTTGGGACGCCCACGATGATCGCAAGCGCCTCGTATATCGGCTCTATGAGCGACGACTTCGACAACGAGGCGCATCTCGAGATCCGCCTTGTGGACGTCACCCAGACCGACGAGACCGAGATGCCCGTGATCGGTTCGGTGCTCCTCCCGGATATGGCCTGCCGGCTGGACTGGTCCTCGCACATGGGCGAGCAGGGCATCATCGCCGTGAGCTGCAACAACGGCGGGGTTTATATCTACTCCGCCGCCGCGATTCTGCGCCTCGGGGCGAAGGGGCATGAGCAATCCCAGACGCAGACGCAAGGGGGCCAGCCACGCGCCTCCTCACCGGGGTTGCTCTGGAGCATTCACGAGCACCACAGCCCGGTCCGTTGTTGCCAGTTCAACCCGTCGGAACCGCAGTTCCTGGCGACCGGGGATGATAACGGGCAG